CATCGCGTTGTAGATATCATCGCTACCGCTCTAGAGCTCTCTTTCCTCCGATGTATTCGTAGGTGTGATACAAGCCTTCGTTTGGCATGACACTCCGAGTTGCTCTGGAAACATAAGGAGCCATTTTACATACTACCTGATTGTAAAATCCTGCGTAACCGACAGACATATGTCATCAGTGAGACTCTCAGCCGAACATCGCACATTTCAACGGGTATACCAGGGAAGTATCTTATATAGCATATACTTAAACCGAAGGCATTCTTTTTCCTTGTCACTAATGCGGATGAGACCGCCATCCTTTCTCAATAAAGATCCTGTCATATAAGCCAGAAACCTGCAAACTCATGTATAACCCTTGACCACAAACGTACAAAAACGTTAACATGTTATTTTCGCCTTATGAACAACCACTGCTCCCATCTACTACTGTAATATTCATTCCTCTCCCACCAGCTAATTTTGCCTGCTACCGTGCGCTATACATTGACAAATGACTTACATGGATCTCTAAAAAAGCGATTCAAACGACAAGAACTCGACAGACACTCTAGGCAGAAATGTCTGCTGGAAAACGTTCAAATCTATTGCAAAAAACGCCTTGTTTACATCACCATTTTGAAACCATTTCGACGGCATCGAATGGGTTCAATAAAAGTTCAAACCTCCATCCTTACAATCCAAAATCCTCTGAACTTCGTCAATGCTTCTTTCTATTTATCCTATCTTACCATTCACAACGAAATAGTCAAAACTATAGAAATTCTTTAAACTTGAACTAGTAACTATTTGCAAGAGTTAATCCAATAATTTTAAAGCCATGTTGTCTTTCTTATCATACCACTCCCATGTATTCAATGAATTTATGACGTCTTTTGCTCAAACCAATTCATTTTACCATGGACTCAAGTCATCTCATCGATCTTACATAATTCTTTCTTTCATGTAAAAGGTGTTTATCAATTTAAATTTTTTTTTGCGATTTACTTGACAATGTTAAGAAGTGCATCTGTATATTTTAAAAAATGTTTTATTTATCCATTGAAAAAAGGTTGAGGCATTACCATTCGAGGCCAATAATCGAAACTCTATTTTTCCAACGAGAGAAATCAATTTCCCTTGGAACACGGCGTTTTGTTGTAAATAATTTGCATTGGTTCTGAGGGGAATAGACAGGAATATTGACTCGGCGATAGCCTGTATCATGTTAATTTCGTGTGAACCGTAATTTTTGCCAGTTCACAGCCGTTTCTCGGAATGATCGATTACCCACATCCTTGCGGGATCATTAGAGGCAGAGTTCGCCCAGGATGTAAATTTGGATTAAGGTTAAAGTTCAATTTAATCTCTTTTTTCCCCTTAACCACTCTTCTGATATTTTGTTAAATATTTTTTAATGAAGCAAATAAAAAAACCGTTATTCGACGAAAACCTAAATTGAATGATAAAATATTGATGAACAACATCCGACATCATAACGAAATTTTCCTTCGTTTTCCTTTTTAACATTTTTCATTAAAACGTAAAATATATCTATGCTTTTTTCTTCCTGCGGGAAGTTGAATAGCCAGTTGAACAATGTTTCCCAAATTAGCATACAAACTTTCAAAGCATTATAGTGTTAGCTTGTTTTCCTTTTTTGTTCCTACCGTACATAATTTATAAATGAAAGTCTAACCAGCTTAATAGATAATCAGGGAGACTGGGCAAAGCAGAAAACAATAAGCCATGTCTTAACCAATCGTGAAATATCAATATGAGCGGAAAATGTGCAGCTGCCACGTGTATCTTTACCAATTCACCCGGATTTTCTCACCCTCATATCTCCACAGCTTCCACAGATGGGCTTTTGGAACTTGAAACCCAAATTAAGCTAAGGACGCTTAGGCCATTGCAAAAATATTAACTCTTAATACTAAGCCTTTTATTGGGTTGTCCGGAAAATAATGCAGGATTTTGGTATTAAACAAAAAAAAAGAAACTAGTTACTTTAAAGCAATGTTCTTTAATCAAAATAATTTCCCATACTCTCAATACATTTCTCCCAACGTGTTGGTAACTTATTAATTCCGTCTGAGTAGAATTCAGAATTTTTAGAATTGATAAAGTCAATAAATGCATTTTCCAGTTCCGTTTGATTTTTGAATATTATGTGTTGTAAGTAGTGGTCCAGGTGTCTAAAAAAATGGTAGTCAGTAGGCGAGAGGTCCGGAGAGTAGGGTGGGTGAGGCAAAGTTTCATAGCCAAGCTCCAATAATTTTTGTGACGTTACACGTGACACATGTGGTCGAGCGTTGTCATGCAACAAAATGGGCCCTTTCCGATTGACCAAAGAGGGCTTCATTACTGCCAATTTCTGATGCATGGTATTAATTTGGTTACAGTATGATTCAGCATTGATGGTTTCGCCAGGATTTAAGAAGCTGTAGTGTATTAAACCAAATGAAGCCCACCATACCGTAACCATTACCTTTTTTTGATGAGTTGGGGGCTTTGGAAAATGTATTGGAGCTTCTCCTTTGTCGAGCCACTGTCCAGAACGTCTAGTGTTATCGTAGAGAATCCACTTTTCGTCACATGTAACAATTCTGGCCAGAAATGGGTCATTTTTGTTTCGACAAAGAAGTGATGCACAAACATCAAAGCGCTGATTTTTTTGGCGATCGTTTAATGAGTGTGGAACCCAATTTTCGAGTTTTTTCACTTTTCCAATCGCCTTGAGGTGGTCAGCGACGGTCGTTTTACTGACTTTGAGTTGCTCTGCAAGTTCTCGAACAGTTGTTTTGGGGTTTTCTTCCACCACTGATCGCAGAACATCATCATTAAGAGAGGAAGGCCTTCCACGACCTTCTTCATCTTCAAGGCTGAAATCTCCCTCCCGAAATTTTTTAAACCACCTTTGCACAGTGCACTCATTAACACAACCCTCGCCCCAGACTTGGTTAATGTTTCTAGCCGTTTGGGCTCCGCTTCGGCCGAGTTTAAACTCGTAAAAGAAAATCGTACGAAATTCTCGCTTTGACATTATAAGGATGACTGAATTATTTCCAAGTAGCGGAATGCTACAGAGGTAAACAAACAATATCATTTGGAAGAGGATTAATAAGTGTTGACATTCATACAAATGAGTAATCCTGTAAACGTAAACAGAATATTTTATATAGATTTTTTTTAATGAAAACTTAAAATCCTGCATTATTTTCCGGACAACCCAATAGAAAGGAGAAAATTTCGAAATTTGCATTTTTATTACGACTCATTGATCGTCAAAATTATAAGCTACTTTCCGAATAGCTAGAAACGTGAAATTTGGTGAAAAGTTAAGTTTCATACGGCAAATAAAGGAAGAAATGTGGAATTGTCTCAAAATTAGTGTCGGTTTAGGAGGGAGGGTGTATTCTCACCAAAATTATAAGCACTTCCCGTATCGGTAGAAACGTGTAATTTGGTACAAAGATAGGTGTTATACCAAAACCAAAACAAGTCGACGTCCACGATGCTGAAGCGAACAAAAAAATACCCCAACAAAAACTTAACCGTGAAAAAAAGGGCCAAGTTCCTCCTCCAAAAAAATTAGCCTAATGTAATGATATCTAAATTGTGGCCAAGTCCATTTGTTTTTTAGTCCATAACCTGAGAGAACTCAAATGAAAAGATCCAGGCTCCCAACGAAAAAGTCAGCCTTTCAAAGTAGTGATGTCTATAGTACATAGTGGGTAACCACATTTCACTCCTACTTTATGAGCAATATAGTTCTTTTACTATTATTGTTTAGCACTTGGTCAGTTTCTGAATGAGTAGTGAGGAGTGGAACTTTTTTATTTTCTTCTGAGTTCTCTAACTTCCCTTCACTCACCTCTCCTGTATCTCACATGGTCCTGATGTTTTAATCCTCATTAACATGAACCTTATTACCTCCAATTACCAGGAAATCTTGGAGACAGTTACATTTTTAATTTAGAGATGAGGGTTTTAGATTAAGCTACCTTCTTTTTGTAAATGGCACTAGTGCGGTTTTGTTTTCTATGACATCATATCTTCAAACCATCTTTCAATTTTATACCAATGATTTTCTTATATTAACCTACTTTTTATTGTAAACGTAGAGCCCCGGAAAGTGGTAACTGCAGTACCTTAAAATGGTAGTGCACCTTTCGAGATTTGGAAACAAGGTAGGATCGCGTAGGATCCAAGTGATCGCGAAAAAGAAAAACCTGATAAACACAAGGGTGATGTAATATTTATGGTATTCACCCACATATGGTATTAAGTAAGCATGAATATAAATGGGCATTCTTTCGAGATATTTATCCCCTATTTTTGCTAACGTGCTTAGATTGATCAGAGGTGGAACAAGTGGAAAGTAAAACCAATGCTACCGTACAACAATTGACGAAATAGACTTGCAAATGCTGGAGGTAGTTGTCTGGTGTGCTATTAATTACGACATATACACTTGCACAAACCGCCTTGGCTTAAACAAATTTAATATGATTAGCACAGTTTGTGAAAATGTTCTGATATATCCTATGTCGCTCTTCTCCCACACAACATTTGTTTTAAATCCATTACAGCTCGTGGTCCGATTGACCAATTAACATTTTTCAATTAATTAATATTTATGAAAGGTATTGGTTGAGATAAAAAAGTCAGTGTCACAAGCGGGATTCGAACCCACGACCTTCGGCAAGATACGCCGCTGCTCTACCACTTGTGCTATCGTGACTCACACCAACTTCCCATCTCAACCCCTCCTTTTGAATTTTCCCTCTTTTTTGCCATTTTTCAAATGCCGTGTAATCTATTTGATTCTCGGCGACAAATGAAATGACCACGGAGACCTTTCTTGAAGATATACTTCAGTTTAATTATTAAAACCATTACAGTTCGTGGTCCGATTGACCAATTAAGATTTTTCAATTAACTAATATTTATTGGTATTGGTTGAGATATATTTATATTTATTATTATATTTGTTTTAAATTTATATTTTTTTATAGGTTTAAAGACGGCAAAGCTTATCCATGGCCAGGAGACGTATCTTCTTTCATTATCTACCCCGAATCTGAAAACCAAACAATCTACACAAAAGCGTTGAGAGCGAGCGACGCCGGAAATTATTCCTGCAGGATTCACAACGACACGCAACATTTCCTCCACATCACTGAGCTCAAAGTGTTCGGTAAGTACAATTGTTTCACACAGGCGTGAATATTTTCTCAGAAAAGATAGAATCGTTAACGTCGCCGACGCGCGACAAGGAATAAATAAGAAATACACTTTGGAATTGTTATGCAAGGGAACGTTGCAGCCTCCAGAGGCATATAAATGGCTCTATTGTTTACAGCGGATTTGCACGAAACTCGGAAACGTTTCAGAGAAAATCTCCGGTCGCTTTCCTATTGATCACACACCGTGACGGTATTCAAGGGCTAACTTGAAACGGAGTCGGTTTCAGCCGGCTTAAGTGCTTCGAAGTAGCTTGGTGTGGGTGGACGGTGACGTAAGGAAAACGCCTACCTTTCACTTGACCCAGGGCTGTTTCCAACGATTCGGAGAAACCGTGCACCGAGTTAATAAAGAGCTGAAACGGCATTTTCCCATCTTTCTCTACCTACTTAGGTCAAAAGATATGTTGAGAGAGGAAGTTTAGATCTCAAACTGGGATGAGGTTGATTACATGAATCACAACAATTTGCAGAATTACCAAGTCGCTAAATAAGTCACTGTTGCAACGTTTTTCCACCTTCACACCCCTTTCGGGGCATGCTCAAAAGAACATTCGAACCACTGGCTCATATTTTTATTAATTTATTATACTTGCTTATGACTTCCTTCGATCCAACCCCTCTACGTTTTAAGTTTACTCTTAAACTAACTGATTGACTTTCATGCAAAAGATTCTTCATAATTTCCTCGTGTAATTGAATCCGGCATAACGGCCTTTGACATTTTATGTTAAAAGACGATCGGAGATGAGGCCATTTTCAAAGAAAACTGTCCCTGCGACGAGCTTACGACGAATATGTTGCCCCATAAGATTCCGAAACTATAATTTTTAATGCGTGGTGATTAGTGACCGTTAATCGATAATTATTCAGAAATCGTGAGATGCGGTCTGGTGTGATGTAGGTTTCAGAAAAACATTTTCTTCATCGTGCCANACGAAGCTAAAAGTATTCTGAAGGACATCGCCAACAATGAGAAGAAACTCGCATCGGCTATCAACCAGAGAACTTTTTTGTTGAAATGCAGACAACACAAGGCCCTGAAGATGATTTAATTTAATTTTTAATTTAAAAGGACAAGATATATGATAATCTATTCACAATTTTTAAATCTATGCTTTCATTGGACTTGAACAAATTCTTATATTCCACCCCCTCTGCATTTAAGGTTTGCTCATAAAGTCATCATCTAATTGATTGCCTCCGTGCAAAAGATTCTTCATCATTTTTTTTTTCATTTCTAATTATATCCAATGTAGGACCAGCATTTAACATTATAATTTTATGTAGGCGAAATAAAGGTAAAAACATTTTATTGTTGTACTTGAACAAATTTTCCATCGATCTACTCCCCTCTATGTAAGGTTTGCTGTTAAGCTAATTCATTATCTGTGATAAATCACTTGTATGCTGTCCTATCAGGTTTGCACGGTGTTCTCTATAGTCACACATTTGAGCATTTTGATCACGTTTTAATTTTGTAATTATATAGCAAATAAACGACACTTTTCCCCATATTGCCAAAAATCTAATTTTTAAGCCAATCGAACCATTAAAATTGCTGTAATATCAATAAAATCGTAGGTTTATATTAATTTTCCGTGTCCATGTCATGTCTCTTTATTACAAAGTGCAATATTAATTTATTAAAAGTCGTGTTTAACTTGTCCATCGATGTTTATTTTGGATACGTTCGCATCAGAATATACTAAAACCGTCCAACCTGGTTTAATTATATTCATATTAATGAAGGAAATAACTTTTATAAACAGATTTAGAAAGTTGATAAAAACTAATTATCTCCTGACAAAAAAAGTATTTGATTTATGCGCTTTTTTCCATCGGGTTTGTTATATGAAAACTTGAGGATAAAATGAGAAATTTTTCGTTATGGTTCTTCGGCAAAGTACGATCAGAAATTTCTATTTTTAATCAAGAATAATGGATTAAAAAATATCTGATAAATAACTTGGAAATACGATTTTTATTCTCAAGCTCATCCGCAAAATAGTTTTCATTGTCTGTTTCTCGTATTCCTAAATAATAAGGCGTGTGGAGATATTAAATGGCTGGTCTATGTTTTTCTATGTGATTTAGCGCAAATTCCTATGATCTAATGTTGAATTTCTCAGAGGCAAGATGTTTTGAAAATCTCAGATTGTGCAATCTGTGTTACATCAACGTGCAATTCGACCTGTTGAAACAGTCGTTTTGTTTTTACGGAACAACATGGTCATCACAGCCCTAAAAGGGTTGTGTTTGCTGAGTACTGTCGAGTTTATCTTTCGAAAGGAAATCTGATGAAATTTAACTTTTTTTTACAAGGTAGCAAGTTATTCGTGGCTGCTTTTTAGTCTAGTTTTTTTTAAACTAAAAAGCTTTACCGTGAGAGCTGGAACCGTGACTACTCGATTTCGGCATTCCTCTCAAATACAATCTGGCTCAAGACCGAGAAACGGACCCAGTGGTTAAAAAACCATTTAAAACAAAATCTTGTATTCCATTAGCCAACTTAATTCGCCGAGAATCCCGCCTGGCATCCCGCATTTGGCCTACTTTCTCCTTCCCGCTTGATTCCAAGAAAACGAAGCGCCGTCGGGGCCGCAGTGTACACATAATTACGTTCGAAATTCGGCAAATCGCCCCCTCCCCTTATCACCAGGCTACCTTTACCTGACAGTCGATAAATACTCCTGGGTGACATTCAAACCTTTTCGTACTTAGAGAGAATAGGTAAACGCAAATCAATAGACTTCGCAAGTCTGAACATGCGCTACGTTTGACACACTACAGAGATTTCTCTATATTATCACAGGTACTTCGACTTAACGTGGAACCGGAGGAAATAGGTATACAAGCCTAGGTTGAAATGGCTAAATCAAATTGGATAAGAGGCGAAACGTATGCCTCAACTTTGTGGTCATTGGCCAAGAATGAAAACAGACCAGACACGACAGAATTCATACCGTATAAAATCATAGAAACACAACAAAGTTTTTACAAATTTTGATTTGTTCTCTTAAGGTGTGAAGGGTGTTGAACCTTTAATTTCCGGTTATTTGGGTCTGCCAGTTTCGCTTCGGCACATTCTGTTAATTTTTCTGATAGTTACTTAATAAATAATATCTAATAAATGACAGGTAAACATGCAAATTAAAGGTGAATTAACAGGTTCTTTAGAGGTCGATCTAGGTCATTTTTTTTATCACTCAACCATAATAATTTTTAAAAATTTAAGTTTGAAATGAAAAATCTGCCTTATAAAACTAAGATATTTGAGACATCGACCACGTTGGACCATGACTGCTCTCAATCCCCCACGTGCTCAGATGGAAAGGGAGATAGTTGTACCTGTCCGACGGTGGGAAAGGATCTCCTACCCTAACCTGGACAGTCGGCCGACCACTTTCTTGATCGGTAGATCCCGTGGACCTCTCGGCTGATATTAAAAACGAGTCTCGGACGACTCTCGTTTAATTATGTAGAACCAAAAGTATGCTGGGGCAAAAAAAGGCAGGTTTGGAATGACGGCATTCACTCTCGTAGCAGACGAGATCCCCCTTGCCTTAAATTTAAAATACCTACGCTTGTATTTGCGATATTTCTTTAATTTCAACTGCTATAACGCTTAGGAATTACATTTTCGGTTGGTCGGTTCCGTACATTTTCATCTAGTATTTCGGAAGATAGTTGTAAAGTGGCCAAAATGATCAGAAATGAACGAACTACAGGCTCATCACGCCGCAATGAGCCAAGAAGAAATCCATCAATAATTAAAATGTCTATAACATATAATAATATATTTGAGATCAGAATATTGTAAAAGTCATCCAATGAAATTCATTTTTGTTTAATCAAATCAGGAGCATATAATTAACATTGCGCTATTAACAGTTATACAGTGTGGAGGTGACCAGTTGCAATTATTAGGGGAAACGATATAATTTAAAATAAATTCGCCTGGAATTTCCCTTTCGAAAAAGTTGGTTTATGAACTGTGTGCAAATTATGTGAACAATGATAATGAAACAATTCTAAAATTTGCTTATTGGAACTTTCCTGTTCAAATAACCTGGCAACTAATTTTGTAAATAAACGTTAAAACCCTGCTTTTTTGTTTATTAAGTTAATTAAATTTAAATTAATTATCAATGTTGGTTCTCTACTTGGTGTTCTACTTAATTTAGTTTTAGATTTTAAACTTTTTCCGAGTATCAAGGTGTGAGGCTGTGTGTGTTTGTGTTGTATGAGGCGTGTTGAGTTTACACAGTTCAGTGTCGGTCCTGAAGACATAATCTCAGCTCTCCTATCATAAAAGGATTATGAACCATGAATTTAAGTGACGATGTTATTGTTGTTGAACCAATTTTTTAATTCAACCCCTCGTTATTCGGGCTAAGAGACAGAATTCTGGGGAGTTTCTATTTGATTTCATTTTGATGCATAATTTATAAGAAACAACAAGGGGAAATAGACCGCGTTACCATTTTTACTGGCCGACAACACTCTTGCATTTTGTGGATTCTTTTATTTTTAATTGAAATATTCAGTCTGACTTTCATAGCATGAACCTGATAAAAATTATAACAAAAACGACATGTCCTCAGCTCGGAATAACGTGTACCACAAACTGTTGAACAGTTCAAAAATAAGCGTCTGTGGTATCTTGCTGGTCCCAGAGCGAGGGGGCAAACTGCTAAACTTAACCGCATTTTCTGTGTAAAAATTAGTTTTTATTTTTATGTGTTTCGCTTGACAATTTTTTAAAGCGAATTAGACTGAATTCTATGATGATAGGGATAATAAATATTTTTACAGAACGAAGAAATTTGGTGTATGAGAGGTAAAATAAATTTTACGATTTAGTGTTATATTTTGGATTTGAGTCGTAATATTTTTGAGTACATTTAGCTGTAACCTGGACTCCCTTTGGGAAATATATCTTACCAAGCCG